AATGTAAATGTAAATGTAAATGTAAATGTAAATGTAAATGTAAATGTAAATGTAATTTTAATTTAATTGTTGTATTCAGTGTATTTGCTCATCAGCAAAATGAATTGGTGATTAAAGGCTTACCAAAGGACTTGCAAGAATTACTCCGATCCTGCTTAGTACTGCTGGAAGTCGCTGGAAAAATTTACACAAAATAATTCATACTAAAAACACACTTTAAGCTTAATTGTTTTTCATTTTTGTTAAAATTGCTTTGATTTTGTTAATGCATTTTATACAGATAAGTGGCTTTCATTTAAGCAAAAATTTTGTTGATGCTTAAGTATCTGTCTCAAATAAGTATAACATATCCAACATTTTACACGGCACTTATTGAGAAAAATGTTTCATTTTTATTTAGAAGTATTTATAAAAGCCTTTTCGATGAGTAATAAAATTTAATATATGTAAAGCTATCAAAATAGTGTTATTTGAAAACATTAAAATAAAAAACACAATGCTTTAATATAAAAAAAATTAAAAATCAACTGAATATTTTATATATAGATCTTAACTCAATGTTTAAAAAATAAGTTTTAATGCAATTAAAAATAAAAAAATAAATTAATGTATTATAATAAATGAATAAAGAAAAATAAGCCACTTTATTTTATATGCTCTTTCAATATTTGTTATATTTTTATACAGTAGCAATTAAATCATTACATGCACTAATTTGAATTTTTCTGATTTGATATTCTGTTCAATTGGCAAAGTAATACAAGCAAAAATATATGTATAAAAAATATATATACAAAAACAAAACAAGTAAGAACGTTTCAGTCAGGCGTTACCGACTGCGGAATAATCATCAACATGCCATTAGCAATTTAGTAGCTGAGTTTACCTTTAATACTGTAGAAAATTCTGTTTTTCTCGATTTGTCACGTCCCTACTGGGCATATACCTCTCATTTCTGACAAGTTCTCGATAGAGGGGAGGTTACTTTTTGGTGAGTGAGTGAGTAACCACCCAAGATGACAAATGGGATAACATTGTATTTCCTAGAGTTTAAAAGTAAGAACGTTAAATTTTTGCACGAGAGCTAATGTTATGACGTGACAAGCCGCAAAAGTTTATATCCTACAGGTTATGAGCTGAGTATTCCACAGTCCGTAACGTAACTACAACGTTCTTTTTTTTTTTTCAGGTTACAGACATTTTATTCAAAATTTTAATTTACAACATGGGAAATTTAAAAGCATGTCCTTAAACTAAATTTTTATATATGAGAGAAGATGAGGCTAAAAATATATACATATAATTTATCTTTTAAGCATTTTGTTATTCCCGTTTATGTACGATTGCATGATTTAATATCCTAAACGTAAATAAAATGGAGATGACTGATGCATTAGTACAAAGTTTCTTCCGAAAAAAAAAAATCTATTGTGTTAGTATACAAATAGTTTAGGGGGTCCACAAAAAAAGGTTGCATTTGCAATATTCAGAATGTGTGTGCGCATATAGTATGGATCATATAAAATAGGTATGTAATTATTTTCTTGAAGTCCATAGTAATTGAGTTAGGGCCACCTTAGGGCGTCTTTCTGGCATTCACGTTTTTCGTGAGGTTCAATATTAACTTACCTGTGTTACGGGATTTTCCCCGGGGCGATAGACGACGTTGTGTAGTGGCCGCTTACGTCCCACATAATTAACACAGACGAACTCCAGTAAAGAGGCGTAAATAAAGCACATGCAAACGCCATCCCATACGTTCATCGCCGTCAAATTTGACACAACAGGCAAGGTGCTGCGGAAACCATTCGAGGTAGTAAAGAAATTCAACATTGTCGTCACGCCTAGTTTATGTTGTACCACAAAATTGAATTAAAAAGTAATAAGACGAAGAGAGAAATTTGCATTAGACTATTGAAACTCGTTTTTAGTTAATGTTTTGTGTATTTTCGTTGGTTACTACAATTTATTATTAATGGTTTTGGCTCATATGTGAGCCATTCAAATTAATTGCAGGGCATAATGTGAATGTATGAATGTATAGCGTGTTAAATAAGAAGTAAACAAATATTGAATATTTAGATGATATCTTTACTGAATAAAATAATAATAAACAATACGTTCTATTTTAAAAACTGTTAACGAATCAACTAGCAATATTTTATATATTTTAATATAATTTGTAAATATTTTAATATTTATTAATCAATATTACTTTTCTAATATTTACTTTTCTACTTGAATATAATATTTAAACAAACATTATACCCTGATTTCCCATATTCAATGGGTTCAGGGTATAAAAAGACATACAGAAATTTATTTTATTTTAAGAGCCGCTTTGAAAGTGTCTGTGGGGATTAAGCACACTTACCTTATCTACAGATCCGAGAAGCCATAATACTTTATTTTACTTACGTATATAAGTGGTATAGACACGCATGCATTATAATCGTGACCAGTTTGAATAATATACATACAAAATCATTATACTCATTCACTAAAGTGAATTATTATATTATAATTCACTAAAGTGAATTAGTATATTGTTTTTTTACAATGTTAAACATTTTCCCGATCCGACCACTAGGGACGTGGTATATCGGAGAAAGCATTTTCCGATAGACTGCGTTTATACGGACACATGGACGGACAGCAGGACGGAGATTGCACAAAACCAATATACTCATTTCACTTTCGTGAATGATTATAATTATATGTCTACGCCCTTTAGGGGTAATATAGATATAGTGATTTTTTAAATTCTGCTAAATTTTGGACACTTTTGATGCTAAAGACCTCAAATTTGGTATATATAGTCGAGCTGACCTACCAAAATGAAAATACTTTGGCACATACATATATGTCCAACCATAGAGGTGTAGCAAACCGCAAAAGTTTATATCTCCTAAAGTATAAGAACTAGAAGCTTCACATTTATATAGACTAGTAAGCTCTTTTATCGATTCCCCAAAAAATATTGTTACGAATCTTTAGGGGCCCGGCATTTCGAAAAATACCCTATACTTTTCTCATTTTTGGAGCGTAAGCATCCAAATTTTGCAGTGAGGTTAACATAAGCTTGTTCTATGAACTGGTCAAAAATAATGTGTCTACGCCCAGTAGTAGCGTGGAGAATCGGGAAAAAAATGAATTTTCTACAGTATTTGAGCTAAGCTTAGCTACTGATGCTGATGGGATGTGAATGAGTATTCGGTTACTAACTTGAAGATTAATAGCTCAAATCACATAAAATTGTGTGCTTGTAATAAAAATTTGGATTACAAAATTTATAAATTAAATTAATAATAGATTTGAAAAGATATACAGACAATTAGTACGGATCAACAAAACACGTATATTGTTGAGGTCTTACACGCCTTCATGACTGATACATGCTTACAAGAGGTAAGCATGCATTAAAGTCTACAATTAATAATACTAATTAGTGCAAGCACACAATGTACATATACTAGAAAACAGATGAAAATATTAATTTATTCCAAATTCTAGGCCCCTATATTATAATTAATTTTTAAAATACTTTAAATGATCGCAAGCCCATTAATACACTTTTAGTTAACGAAAAATTTCTTATTACTTTCTAGATTTCACTGTCTAAAATATCATAATACTAATAATTGGAGAGATAGTACATATAATTGTTTTCAAATGAGTATCTGATAAAATTTTATTTTGGTGTAACTTTAAATGGGCTAGTGTTTTTTCCTTTGAATTAAAAATTTTGTATTTTTTTTACGTACCGATCATAACACGTGCAGGTACCGCATTCCACTCTAGCCAAAAAGTGATAAACGACGAGGTGACCAATATAATACCAGGTATGAAAACGGTTGTAAAATAATATGCACGATCACGGGTAAATGTCATTTCGACTTGCAGGCAACTGTAATTTCCTTAAAGTACAATGCCAAAATCATTGAATTTTGGACAAACAATAAAAATAATACACAAATTAAAAAGTCTATTAATGCAGACGAATCAAACATCAGAGGCAGAGCCATACCCAGTATATATACAAATTTATAAAGGTGTTACCTCTCCTATTAAAGCTCTAAATCTTTTAATTTTATGTTGTACTTCCATGGAAAAGAAAAAATTAATAAAAAATAAAATATATGTGTCTAAGTTTGCTGATGGATTCAGTTTTGGTAGGTTTGCTTGTATAAAGACAATTTCTAGGTATTTTAAGAGTATATATAATTTGGAAACCATGCTCAAAATCCAAAAAGCAATATTTTGTTAAGAGGAAGTGTCGTATACTTTTTTGCAGCTTTAACGTTTATAATGTTTAAAATAAATGCTGTTAAATTAAATAAAATATATATAGTATATATTTTTTATTATATATATATATAAAGATGTGTCTTCAAATACGAACTACTTTAAAAAGCAGCGAGGTAATTTACATGTTGTCGTTTGGTCAAAATTAAATAATGTTTATAAATTGCATATGAAAGGGTCAGTAAAATTGTTGTAAGTCTATTGCTACAAATGCGAAATAATGAAATTTAAAACCGTTAAAATTTTACTTTTTTTTTTTGTGAAAAAGCAAGGTCTAATTTAATTAATGCGAATATGTTGTTGGTAGCTTTTATTGGTGTTTTATTTTTTTAAATGGTACTATATTATATAGTATTCGTTACCTATCATTGATCTAGCAGGTACTGCATTCCATTCTAGCCAGAAAGTTATAAAAGACGACGTCACCAATATAATGCCAGGTATAAAAACGGTGGTAAAATAGAACGCACGATCTCTGGTAAAGATTAAATCGACCCTAAGGCAGCTGTAGTTCCCTATTCAATTTTTGATAACATTTATGTTCGTTGTTAATGATTTTGTAATATTATGAAGCAGGACAAATATTTTTGTACAGCATATATTTTATTTTTATTGTTGGTTTTTTTTTGTTTAGAATTAAACAATCAATAGACTATTAGGTACGCGAAAAAATGTTTCAAAAATATATTATTTTTTATTTTAGTTCAAGAAGAAATTGCTAATTCCCATCAAATCAATAAAAATAAAATACTAATATAATAACCATGATTTTAAACAAAATCTATCCTAAAGATAAACACATTAAATCATATTTAAATGACAAACACAAGTCAAGGTTTCCATAAATTTGATGGCCATGGGCCATAACTTACCTCGCCAACTATTTTGATCACAGGCCGTTGTTTGATTTTTAATCAAATATGCATTTAATGTTGTCAACGAGGGGCTTTTACGTAATGTGTCCTCATCATTCTTCCAAACATATTTGATTTGTGCTTCCTCGTAAGAAACTGGCCAGCATGTAAGGGTCCAGAATAAAGGGAGATAATCAAGGAAATAGTTACTATTTTATAGCCCTAACACATTGAAAATGGGAAATCAGGGTACAATGGTTTTCTTGAAATGTATTTAACAAGAAGAAGGAGGTGTTTTAGACCCCACAAAGTATATATATTCTTGATCAGGGCGACGAGCTGAGTCGATTTCGCCATGTCCATCTGTCCCTCCGTCCGTCTGCTCTACTGTCCGTATGTATGAACGCGTCGAGATCAGAATACATAAGAGCAAGAGCCTTGAAATTTTGTAAAAGTTCATATACATATACATATAGCGCAGATGCCGATTTTATCTCAAAAAATCGAAAATGCACATTGAAAATCAAGTTAGTTGAATTGAGCATAGAGAAAGCTATTTTTCAACATTTGACCAACTTGGTCGAGCGCATAAAGCAAAATTATTGTGCTTTCGTATATTTTCTTGGCCTGAACCTAAAATTGAGAAGCCGAACAAATACGAAGTTGGGTGGGTTGCAACCCACCCCCTTTCGTATCCCCAAAAAAACGCTTTACACTACGTGTCCGGTCTATGTGTTATGTGGTTAGTGACATAGACTAGACATGTAGAACAAACTTTTTCAACACCGAAAAATCTGTCTAGTAGCTCCCATTAGCTTTGTATTCGCTCGGCTCGGTATTTAATAAAAATAATAATATAGCACGACGAAGTCATGCGATGCAGAAACTCAGATGAAATGGTCCCGTCGTGTATGCTTTGCGTTTTTGTCCTACTCTCTCTCGCACTCTATCTCTCTTCCATTTCTCTCAAATCATCAAGCTCAGCAACGCACAAAAATTGAAATTTGTTCGCGACTATCCCATGACTGTTTTTGAGTTTGAGGGTATACCGAATCTTAAATGTGTTTGCCCCGCTCATACAAAATGTTTTTATGAATATTTCTAAGAAAAGTATGAAGTCTTTGAGGCGTATAAAAAAAATGAATTCGCGACGGACGTGCACACACACACTTCCAGTCTCTGGAAAAATTTATGTGCATTTGTGTGCCTGTGGCGTACCTTATTCCGTGTGCTCAAATTATAAACAAAATTTTTCGGTCGATCTTAAGGACTGCCATATCGACTTCATATGTATACATATATTGTAATCTAATCTTGTTAATAAATGTGTGTATCGATAAAATACTATAAAACTAATAAAATACTACATAAACTAATAATTTCATTAAATGCTAGCACAATATAAAAACTTCAAGTTCAACATAATACACAAACATACATATGTATGTGTGTATATCGTTTTATAGTCAAGCTGTACTTTGTATTGCCAAAACAACTTATGTAAGTCATTAAGGCACTTTACAAGGCCGACCAACGGTATATATTGGGCCGTACAAAAGGTTTTCAGACATGAAATTAGCAAAATCACCTCTAAAAAAAATAAGAAGGCTCTTGTCGAGACTGCTCCACTAGGAGATACCCTGAACCCTCCAATCTGATATTCAATCATTCTGTACTTCTTTTATGCACATATACACACATACACATGCACGTATAAAGCCGAGGTCTGCTAACTGTGCAGTATGAAGCGACTGCGCTTGGGCTGCGCTGCAATGTGGGCAATATTATGAGAATTTATGTGGTGAATAATTTAATTTCTAGACGTACAATCTTAATGAAACTTCCAGAACGTAATCATAATGTTCAACTGTATGTACATTCCAAATCATAAATCTCTAGTATTTGAAATGAGTTATTTACGAATTCGGGACGTGGTATCTAAAATCTGTAAATTGCAAAATATCTGTATTTATCATATGTATATGCACAGTAAATCTGAAGTTTCCAGGTCCAATAATGTTCAAATGAGGCTGAAAAAACCAAATCAATTTTTTCGATTATTCTCGATAAAAAGTTATCGGATGATTTATCGAAAAAAGCAAACTCGTACCACGTATGGTATACACGAGTATGCATGCCAAATTTCAGCTTTCTAGATTTTGTGTCCTCTGAGATCGACGCATTAATACAGACAGACGGACGGACAGACGGACAGGGCTATATCAACTCAGCTCTTCCTGATCAAAAATGTATATACTTTATGGGGTCTGCGATGATTCCTTCTGCCCTTTACATACTTTTACACATTTTCAATGGGTTCAGGGTATAAAAATAAAGAAAATAGTTTTGAAAAAATAGTTAAAATAAGTTTATAAATTATAATTTTTTCCATGTAATTTCGCAAAAACACTTCATTTGCAGTATATGCAATATTTTAATATTTGAATTCTGATGATTTTTGTCCTCGAATCACAGAATTTTTGCTTATATTTTTTGTCCATTTACACTCTTTTACACAATTAATGCAGAGAAAAGCGCGATTGGTAGAAATTCACCATAATCTGCACAGGCAGCAAGCAGTTTGGCCACATTTCCGAAGAAAAATAGGCTAGAGCAAAAACAAAAAAAAAAAAAAAAAAAAAAAAAAAAAAAAAAAAAAAAAAAAAAAA